GGGGTGATTAGGGGCCCTGGAGAGGGGGGGCTCAGCCCCCCCTTGGGGGGTACGTGGGGCCGATCTGCAGAGCCCTTGGAAGTTAGGATCCTGGGGGAACAAACCCCTTGGGGGGGGCTAGAACTGTGGAAGCGCAGAACGGGGGGGGGTTAGATGCCTCACGGGAGCACCCTCTGGGGACTCCTCTCCTAGGACGCCGTCCGTCCGTATGGCCCATCCCTGTTCTCTGCCCCCCAAAGGCACGTGCTCTGCGTGTGACTTTTTACTGGGTTGAGCTCCATTGTCTTGTAACCCCTCTGGCACTATAAAGGGGAGAATAGTGAGTATCCTCACCTGCTCCCCCCAACCCATGATATCACCCAGGCACGTATGTGTGGGTCTAGGGGGCTGCTCTTGGCAGTGAGGAGTAAAAAGGGTCTCTGCACTCCTAGGGGTGCATGCCCTGTACAACTGCGCTCTGATTTTACATTGCGACCTTTGACCCCTCCTTTGTGAATGAAAAACACTTCAGAGCAAAAAACAAAAGACAGGACTATGCAGCACTTTAAAGACTAACAAGATGGATTATTAGGTGATGAGCTTTTGTGGGCCAGACTTCAGAGCAAGGATTTGGTACGGGGCACGCACCCTGCTGGTGCTCGTTTGACTCCTTTGGGATTTGCCATTTGGTTGTGCTGATTGGTTTCAATACAACTTAAACCCGTTCCAGGTTCTCTCTCTCTCTGTGGTTCCATTTGTGGTGCTAATAGCAGCCACCTCTCTCTGTTTCATGTGCAGGGAGCCAGTGAAGCTGTGGCAGCAGCCCAGGCATTGTCCCTGCCGGCTGAAGCTTACGGCAATGATGTGAGTATTCCCACAAAGGGACTGTCTGCAAGGCCCAAGAAGGGTATTGAACAGCGGCAGCACTTAGTTTTACATTCCCTGATGAGGAGTCGTTACTCCATGAAACAGGCCTCAGGGATATTGGATCTCAGAGTTGTTCTAAGCTGTGTTTTCCAGCTTTTTTAAAACTTTCCAGCCCTTAAGTTTGATGCCATCTTAAATGAAACCAAAGATTCACCTGTGGCAGTAGGATTGGTGGATGGACATGGGAATGCTTGCCTTGTTGATGCCCGTATACATACACAATAGGGATGTTAATGGGTAATTGGTTAACCATAGGGCCCTGCTGGCAGGATCCCTGGCGGCCCGACTGACAGGATCCCGGCAGCTGCGGGCAGCAGACCTTAAACAACCCCTTCCTCTGTGGCCAGGCCACGCAGGGCCAGGTCAGATCAGCCCCCTGGGCGGGGTGGGGCCAGAGCAGTTCATGGCCAGGAGATAACCAGTTAAACATTTTAACTTTTTTGGGCAGTTTTTAAATCTCTCAGATAACCAGTTAAACATTTTGTTAACTTTTTTGGGCAGTTTTTAAATCTCTAGTACCCAGAGTATTTCAGCCTCTGTTGCTGGCAAATGGGCACTGCTCATCAGTGCTGCATTCACATCAGACCTCATCCTGTTGATTAATTTACTGTCTGGTTTAAATTCTAACTACAGTCTGCTTCCACTATGAATTTAACCAGGTTGGATCTGGTTACAAAACATGGAAGTGGCTAAAACCTGGTATCAAGTAGCTTATTCTTGCCTGGGTGGATAAGAAAAAAATACTACCCATGTTAGGGAGGAACAACACATTTAGACACGATTTGGACAGAAACCTATAAACATTCCATTTTTGTAATATAGTCGGGGCTTAGGTTTCTCCTTTGGTTTCATTTGTCTTTGTTCTTTTCCACTTCCTGTCTGTCAGTATGTATCACAGCGTCCATGTTCCACCCCAAGGTGACTGAATTTTATTGGTCGTGAAAGTGTCATTTATGCATAGTTTGAAATGCACCTTAAATTGATAAAGCACATTACATGAAGGCAGCCCTAGAATGATGAAATTGTATCTCCTCCAGCTGATACTACTCTTGCAGCCTTCCCCCCTTTGAGACAGGATGTGGGAAAGAACATGAACAGATGAAATCGTAGGGGAAACCTAAGCTCTGTCTGTGTTACAGAAACTGTCATCTGCCAACGCTAAGGTAACGGAAGGCGATGGACACAGAATGAGGTCAGCCTGTCTGTTGATGTCACGGCTTTTTCTCTTTGTCTGCAGCCCAACATTGAAATGATCTGGGCCATGAAAGCGTACCAGCACGCTGAAGTCTATTTTAACGTAAGTCCATGGGAATAGCAGAAACAGATGTAGCAGTATCAGAGGGGTAGCCATGTTCGTCTGAATCGGCGAGAACAACGAGAAGTCCTATGGCACCTTATAGACTAACAGATTTATTGGAGCATAAGCTTTCGTGGGCAAAGACACATATGACGAAGTGGGTCTTTGTCCACGAAAGCTTATGCTCCAATAAAGATGTAGCAATGGGGCTGAGATGCAGGCATTTCAGGCTTTTTATTTTAATAGTGGGTTATTTTCTGATATTCTCCTTGGAATAAGCCACTACCTGACGGGCATATTTCACAGAGCCTCGGACTGAAATAGCAGAAGGGGGCTGAAAATCAGGATTGAGGGGAACCCGGAGCTGGAGTAAGGAGTGCTGTAGACACTGAAAGCCAGTTTTTCTAGTCCTCGAGTTGTTCTTTCCGTGGGCACTGGCAGCGAAGACTGAGATGTGGTAACTTCAGGAAAGTGACTGTCAGTGAGGGAAAGGGATTGTATATTGGGTTGTAAGATTTTCCTTTAGCAATGGCTTGATCTAATGGGGTTTGTGTGTGGAGAAAGCAACACAACATGTAGAGATAAGCAACCTCCTACCAAATGTGGGGTTGGGGAATGACAGGATAGCGGCTCGTTTCAGACTCCTGTCTGAACCTGCCAGACTGCCTGGGTAGCGCTGAGCCCTGAGGAAGGCAGGGCTCTTGCTGGTCTAATGACGGGACAAGATTAAAGCCCAAAGCAGGGGCAGGGATCAGTGAGCTCTGCCATGGACAGGTCCAGGTCTCGTGAAGGTTGGGCTTTCCCCAGCTCCTAGGAACGGCAGCCCTCAGGCATAGGCCAAACGTGCACAGAGATGGCTGACTCTTTAAAAGTCACGTCAGCCATTTGCAGCCCTATTTGCTTTAAACTCCCAGGACTACCCTAGTGTGGCTTGAAGCAGGCGGCGTGACTACTGGGCATTGCTGCTATTGCTCCTGGAAGGAACAGAATGGCAGGGCCTGGACCTCAGACAGGCCTGCTGGGGTCATCATGGTTGACTGCCGGGGGACTGCAGCCCAATCTGAGAACGTGGACCCTCGAGAGAAGGGACAACATGGGGCAGAGCCTGGAGGAGGTGCAGTCAGTGGTAACTGAACGACACTTGGGAAAAGTGCTCAGTACAAAGAACATTGCAGAAGAGCTCCAGGTGTTGGGTGAAGGGCCTCTCTGAAAATCTGACTAAGACTAGAGAGGATCTGCATTGAAGTGGGTGTCACTGGGGGCATGTCTAGACTACTTGCCTCTGCTGACAGCGGCATGTAAATTAGAGATACTGACAGTCAATGAAGCGGGAATTTAAATATCTCCGCTTCATTAGAATAAAAATGGCCTCCATGTTGTGCTGGCTCAACAGCTGAGCTGGCACAATGCGGTGGCCATTTTTATTCTAATGAAGTGGGGATATTTAAATTCCTGCTTCATTGACTATGTCGGTATGTCTAATTTACATGCCTGTCAGCAGAGGCATGTAGTCTAGACATACCCTGGCTGTGGTTCACTGAGATTTGGGGGGGAGGGGAGAAGAGAGTGAGTTACCACCATATTTGAAAGCCTTCCCATTCAGCCAAAATGCTCTGGTGATCCATCCCTCTGCTGCTTGCCTTGTTCAGTCTGATTCTCAGGTTTCCCTTCCAGCTTATTTCCTCTGTTGACCCCAAGTTCCTGAAACTTACAAAAGTCGATGACCAGATCTATGCTGAGTTCAGGAAAAGCTTTGGGGACCTCAAGATCGACGTGCTTGACCCAGAGGAGCTCAAATCGGAGCCCGCCAAAGCGGTCAGTGCACTATGTACAAGTAGCATGGTCCTTTGACTCTAGCGGGCCCAGGAGATAGCAGTGAGCTTCTGGAGCTGAGGGGAGGAGAAGTCCCCCTCTGTGGAGAGCATTTGTCTGGCCAGAGGGGGACTGGATGGTGGTATCCCCTTCTTTAGCTCAGGAGTAAAACACGAGCAATGGTGCTTTCACATCCAGTCTCTTGTCAGGCATTGGATGCTGTGAAAGGGAGAACGGAGATCAGAGAAATAAACTCTGGCTGCTGTGTAGTGCAAGCAGCCTACCTGCTAGCCTCTTGCACCCGTGCTCCCTGCTAGAGGCCACAGGTAAACGGGGCCCCCAGAAAGAAGGCTGAAAGCGATCTGTGCTTGCTCTAGAAATGGCGCCCCTTCTGTATGCAGTTTGATGGGGTAGTTGAAGACTTCAACTATGGCACCCTGCTTCGCCTGGACTGCAGTAAGGACTACACAGAGGAGAACACGATATTTGGTGAGTAGGCGCCTGTGGACCCCTCCTCTTCCGAAACTGCTCTAGGAGTGGCAGGCTCCCTGGCACAAAGCACTGGGCTGGATCAGGGTCTCTGGACGCTGGAGAGCTGGGAAATCCTAGCTCCAGGATTGATTATGCAGCCCCAGGCTGGATATAACAGGGCTCCCAAACTCTGGGTGTAGAAATCCCGTCCCAGGCTCCCAGCTCTGCAGCAGGAACCAGGGAAACAGAGCCCCAGAAAGGCAGGAATGTCACTTTCACATTGTGTGGCTAGGACCCTTTATTTGGGCGTTTCCCGAATGACATTTTTAGGCATCTCTGGATTGGAGAGAAATGCTGACTGAAGAGAAACACACAGAGCTTTCAAACATGGTGGTAATGAAGTTACCAGTCCCTCCACATCTCACACTGGTTTGGTTCCAAACTGGTCCTGAACCAAGCCCCCTGAGATTAGATCCAATAATGTACTTTATTGTGGCGATAGGGATGTGAATCTAACCAGTAAGCCTCACTCTTAATAGGTGAGGCTTACTAGTTACAGTTAACAGGTGGGGGCTGCTCCAGTGGGGAGAGCTCCCCCCCACCTTGCCCTGTTTAATGGGTTAACTGGTTAACTAATTAAATGAGATTTTACATCCCTAATGGGAAACAGTTGTTTGAGAATCAGCTCGTGCACATTGCTGCTACAGGCCTGTGTAATAGCTGAATTGATCCTACTTCCTCTCAGGGGAGCGTTGTTCTCTGCTGTGACTGTCCTATCAGGGGCTGAGCTGTAGTTGGGAAACCTACTACTGGCTCTGCCAGAGTGCTCACTGCCCAGTCTTGCCGTAGTGGCTTGAATAGAGTTATGTTCAATTACATCTCTGCTCCTTTGTGGCTGCTGGGGTGTGTCGGGGCAGCCTAGCATCAGACAGTGCAGAGAAGGGGGAATCTGCTCTAAACATGCTTTTTTCCCGTCAGTCACCAGGATCCAGTTCTTTGCTATTGAAACTGCTCGCAACCGAGAGGGCTATAACAACGCTGTTTACAGCCGTGCCATGGACACACAGTCTGCTGCTGCAGAGACAGGAGGATCTGCATGAGGCTGGGATAGAATTTGTCACTCTACTAGCCAGCCAGCCACGGGCAGGAAGATTCCTTGCTGCCCTGAGGATTCATAGAAACTGCCATAATTAAATGGACTCTTGCATAGGGGAGGGAGAGGCACATGCATTCATGGTGGAGGGATAAAGAGAACAAAGCAAGACTCAGAACACTTTGGGCTTGGACAACTTGGTTTCACTGCATTACAGTGCTCTTATGGCAGCATTTCTGCCATGTTAATGACCAAACAGCCTGTAAATAAATGTCAGTATGCTGCCCTAGCTTAATTCCTGCAACAAGGGGAGTGGGAAGGGGTTTGCGGAGCTACATCGCTGTCAGAGGGCAGAGTTCTACATGAGTTCATGACAGCAGCAGCGTTACTGTAGGAAAAACTCAGCCCTGAATGATCCTGGTTCCTCTGGGGAGAGGCTATAAGGCCTAGATGGACCTGCTAACTACTCTATAGGATTACATCTGACAGGTTTTGGACTGCGATTCTGCATCAAATGAATGAGCTCTTGCCTTAATCTTGGTGCTGTTAACAGCCAGGAGCCAGCATGAGTTCAGGGCATGTTTCATACTTTGAGTAGGTACTGGCCAGCGGGTGACTTGGTGTGGAACATGCGTTTCCTGGGAGATAGGGGCAGCAGGAAGTACAACAGAAGGTCATGTATTGTACAGCTACTGGTCCTACCTTGGCTACAGCAGCTCTGGGGTTAAATCCTTCAATCTAACATACAGGTCCAGGCAGCAGTACGAAGTGAAACTAACAGTTGCTGCATCTGACCTGCAAGACTTCAAACAAAACTAAGCTAGTGGAGGACGAGCTGTTAAGACTTCCAGCCCTGCTGGAGGGTCCTTCCTAATAGGAACCCCCATCAGGGGGGAGTGGAGGTGATCAAGATGGAAAAAGGCACAGCTCAGTAGAAACCATTGAAGTTTATTTGCAGTCACAATGCTTACACTGTATGCAGCAAACACCCTTACAAGTCAACCAGCAATCTGCTCACACAAAAAAAGGACCCAACACACAATCGCCAGAGGAAAGGAAAAAAAAATGGAGTTGGTGATGTTGGGGATATCGAAATAAAACCTAAGGACAGTGTCTGTGAGTTAGAACTGAGCTAGAGATGCACACAACTAGCAGCAACAATAGTGGAAAAGTACAAGGCCAACGGGTTTTCCCCTCCCCCCATAACTTTCTTCAGTAAGTAAATTTTATATCCAAAACATTTAATATGGTGATTTAGAAAAATGGATTTGGTTTAAGGGGGGGGTCCTGGGTACTTCATGCTATGCAGACCTTGTTATTAAGAACCCTCCATGGTGGTAGTGTCAACAGAAATCCTATGGTCTTGGCTGTGTCATACATTCAGGAGTGCACAGTGTATCGACACCGGCACTACCAAGGGAAGACGATGCAGTTCTTCTGCTCACTGGGAGCACCAGTGCTAGGACAAGCCCTGCTGTTAGACAGCTGCTGATCCACCTGCACTTCCAGCTTTCCAGAATGGGCAAGAAAGGGACATTTTACAGTGAAAAGGAAAAAAGGGGGGGAGGGGCTGTGGAGGGGAGAACGTGCGGCATGCACCAGTCCAGCGATTCCCCACATGGTGAGAGGCAAAGGCCTGAAGGCGACTGACAACAGGACAGCATTTACTGTTACACAGGGCGGAGGGGAGACACCCATGAGCTAGCACAGCTGGATGGCTTAGAGTTCCTAATAACAAGGGGCAAACGGTAACAGGAAGTTGTCATTTAAAGGGGCTTATAAGAAAAAATATACATTTGGAATTTTACATTTTTTTTTGCTTCTCTCTACACTTGTCACTAAATATATCTCTGCACTTTCACACCCCCTTGCCTAGGAAAGCTTCAGGCCAGCATGAGACACACCTTCCTCACTCACATACACAACCCTCACTTCAGCATTGGTGCACTAGACTCTGTAAAAATTTCAATCATACTTTTTTTTTTTTTTTAACTGAGTCAATATAAACCTTGTTCAAAATGTTATGAAAAAATGTACATGTTTATACAAGGCAGGCTGCAGCAGAGTGCTAGGGTTCCACCCAGACATTCGGGTCGTAGGGAGCTGCTGGATTCTCACCCCCGGCCTATGCCCTTCCACCCCCTCCCAAGGAAACACAAGCACCCTGCCCTGGTGAGCTTTAACATCCCTCCTGTTCCCTCCTCCCTTGGACGTGGAGTACAGCCCCCAACTGAGCACCGCAGCCCAACGCTAGGGAAGAGCAGGGATCAGAAACGCCCTCTTATCTTTCCATCGGAAACGTTAACCCCTCTGGTCCAGGCCAAAGAGATGCTGCTCTGTACAGGTGGAGTCGGGGGAAGGTGTCAGCTCATCATGTCGTTGCTGTTCACGCCGTAGGTGGAGTTTTTCATAGAGTCGTTCACTTCTCGCCGGAACGCAGACAGGTTCTGAGTGAACCTACAGAGCACAGGGGTGTGAGAGCAGGGCGCTGGGGGCCGCTTGCCAGCACTTCCGAGGGTTAGACCACACTTCTCCCCTTTATAACTTAGCTGTAGCCAGGAGGTTCCCACACCCAGCCCATCACACTAATTCTGGGACAGCTGGAGCTGTGGTTGCTGCTCTAGCATTAAGCGAACAGGCTACTGCCGAAGGCCTGGGGCTCCCTGACTGCATTTGGCCGCTCAGCCGTGTCAGGCTCAGCAGGGCCACTGACGGGTGGGAGGGACCTCGTGCCAGGGACTGCTGGCCCTGCAGGATCCAGGGAGCAGAGAGAAGGTAGCGGAGGAGCAGGGAACACGTCTGCCAGTGTGACAATGGAGCTGGCAAGCGCCCAGCCATTCCCTCTACACCAGGGTACAACACGTGCGTGTCTGCTGCGCACACACAGGGGCCTGGGTTTTGCCACCGGTGGGGACCAGGGACAGCAGAAGCCGTAGAGGGCACTTAGCCCTGCTCCCACCCCACAGAGCAGATGGCACGGTAGGACCCTGCAGCCCTGCTTTCTGCGTGGGAGATGCAGGGGGAACTCAGACTGTCATGCCTGAGTGCAAGGGGGGAGCCAGGGATCTGGGCTGTGTCTGCACCTCAGCACTGGGAAGCCTGTTTGCCTTTGAGCTGCTGCTTTTAAAAGAATTGTAACAGAGGCAGGGGTTCGGCCCTTAGCTCCATAGGGCTCCTGGGTAGGTGCTCAGGCTTCTAAACCCCGGGAGCTGGCGTTACACCAAGGAATTGAAGAGTTTACTCGGGGGACGGGGAACATGCCCCTCACTGACCTGACTCCTGATTCGGGATGTGCACGGGTAACTGATTACCCAGCAAGAATCACCCGTGGCAGGTGACAGGTCACTGTGGGCAGAGGGCTGCTCGGCCCCAACGGGTCTCTGTGTAGAGCTGCTGGCTCTCAGCGCACATGGGGCTGCTAGTGTGATTTGCCACTTCTGGCCCCATGCAAGGCCAGCAGGTCCCTCCTCCCCCGAGCAGGATGGCCGCCAGCCCTTCCTTTGATCAGTTAACTGGTTAAACACTATGTTTAACCAGGGAACCAATTAAACATCCCTGCTCCCAACAAGTAAAGGAACTCCAAATACCTTCGCTGGCCTGGCACAGGCTCCAGCCCCGAGGGAGGCTGGGGGATGCCGAGACTAACTGCAGGCTGGATCCAAGTAAGCCGGGGGCCAGATCTAGCTTGTGGGCCGGAGGTTCCCCACTTCACTCCCATGTTGGCCATGTAGCACTTGGCCCCCAAATGGCAAGAAATGCTCAAGGCATGGCCACCCACCACACTGTGCACCAACGTGCCCAGGCCAAAGGGGCCCTCTTCCATGGTGGGTGGGGGGCCCTGCCACGTGGCGCAGGTTCACTGCCCATATAGTGGCCCCCTTGCTGGGGAGCGGTCGGCCGTGCTGCTGGGTTGCAAATATGGTTCTTTGGCCAAGGGATTTTCCATACTGACCTGTCTCTGTTCTTGGTTAGCAGGTTGCGTTCAATGCCTTCCATGAGGTTCTCGAAGCAGAGGTGCATCGCCTGCTGCTTTTCGGGGGGCTGGCTGTTCACTATGCTGTTCCGCAAGTCGGAGAAATACTGGCAGGAGACAAGCGAAGGGAGAGGAGAGGGCTGAACATGTGCTGAGTGTTCCGGATGGGTTCTTAGACTTGGCACGGCTCTTCCCCCGCCAGACATCATCTTAAGCATGATGCCGGCAAGTGCCATGCAAGCTTCCCTGTTCAATGCACTGCCCTCAGCCACTCCAGGCCTGGCGTCCACCCCCCAGCTCAGCTCCGGTACCCCTTGTTCATTGCCAGGCTGCCAGGCTGGGCTCCAGTCCTTGGGTCATGCCTGATTAAAGCCAGCTTAACCCAGCAAGAGGGGCTGGGCCTACCTTTTCATTGAGTAATATCAAGCCCAGCAGAGGTCGAGACATGGACCACTGATTCCTGCAGTCCTCAAAAATGATGATATTCAGCACCGTTGACAGCATCTGGAGAGAGAGGGGGAGATCAAGAGGCTGTTTCCTCCAACCCACCTTTTGCCCTGGCAGAATGGGCCAGTATTTATCATCCCATCCCGCTCCCACTCCATCAGAATGGACTGTGTGAGAACAGCATGCTCTTCTCAGGGGGCTCTGTCCTCACCAGCCCTGGGTGGGCACTCTCCTTACTGTACCCGGAGGTCAGATCTCGAGGCTAGAGAGATTACTCCCGGTCCGCGCAACGCTTCCTGGGCCTGCCTCCTATCTGTGCTCTCACATGGGGGCGGGGAGCAGTAGCAGCTCCCAGGAGATCACAGCTAAGTCGGATGCAGGAATGTGTACAGCAGCTAAATGCCATGCAGGGCTCCATGGCAGGAAGCCCCTCTTGTCCCCAAGCAGAAGGGATCCCTGGCTAGGAACCCCCTGAAACTAGATGCCTACAAGAGCTGAAACGGGGAGAGCAGGCCCTTCAATCCATTGAAAGCCTCGTCTCTGCCGCACGCCCCGTCTTCCCCTCCGTAGTCTGCGAGGCCACGTCAGAACCAGACTCCAAAGTAAGCCCAAGATCTTAACCCCCGGGAGTCACACAAGCAGTTTCCAGTCTCTGCTTGCAGCAGACCAAGGCTCTGGTTTGTGCCACAGCAACTCCCTCGAACCAAACACAAAGCCCGATTCTTTTTCTGGCCAGCTCTGCTAAGAGGGGGGAGCCTAAGCAGTCCTTGAAGTCGAGCTCTTGTCTCACTTGAGGGGCTGGGTGGCCACATGGGATCGCAGCGTGCTGCTGGCAGGGTGGCAATTTGGAAGCAAGCATGTGTTGGCGGGGGAAGGGACGCACGGGGGACAAGCGTTTCACCAAAAGGGGTGGGCGAACAGATCCCCAGCAGACGCGCAGCACGGCACCTGGCAGATGAACAGACACAGAATGGGAGAAGCCTGACAGCAAGTGGCGAAGTCCGTCTACACGTGAGCGGAGCTGTGATTAAAAAGCACTAGCAGACTAGTGTTACAGCTCGCACTACAGATCTTACACGTCAGTCACGGCCAGCAAAGAGGGAACTGGCCCGTTTGGTGTTCACCTTGGGCAATGGGAAGAGCTAACAGGAACAAAACCAGATTATTAAATCCATCCTGCGGAGGTGATTATGAACTCCAGGCCTACGGGCACTCAGGCAACATTTGCTAAGGTAACAGACACAGCTGGAGTAGAAAAAGCAAAAGGCTCAAGGCAGGGGGAAATCCTGGCCATTGCCTCATTAAGCAGCAGGGCTGTGTTGTTTCTGGTCTCTTGCAAACACTTATCCAGCCTCCTGAAGCTTTCTAGCCTCTTTTGAATTGGCTGGTGTGTTAAAATAGCGCAAGCTCGCGGCAGGCAGATATAGCTGAAGCCAGAAAAGTACTTGGTACCAGTACGTCGCACAACACAGGTTCTACCTGTTGGGGTATTTTAAAATTATGCTTAAAAGGTTTTGGCTCTCTCTTTCAAACTGAAGTTTAAAACCAGTGCATACTGTACACGCCACCCTCTGGCCTAGAGTCGCCCGCCCCGAAGCACAGTTCTCAGTTCTGGGAGATCAGCTATGCAGCATGCGAGAGGTGTTGTCTGAACGCAGGGTGGGAAGGCCCAATCTACTGATGGCTAAGACTGCACCAATCCCGCCGGCTTCAGGCATGTCCCTAGCCCCTCTGGGCTTCAGCTATGAGGCAGAGGTAGCGGAAAAGAGACCCACAGAATAGTTCGGGCGACCCCTTGTTTGGCCACCAGATGGAGCCAGCGCCCTGCAACCAGCCCACCTCCCTCTCGCCGGTCCCTCCCCTCTACCTGTTGAATCATCTCGGGGTGCTGCTGCATGATGTGCAGGAACCGGTCGCTCTCCTGGCTCAGGGGAGTGGTCCTCTTCTTAGTGCTGCGAGACAGCTGCTTGAAGAGATACGTCACAATGTGGTCCAAGCAGGAGCAGCAGCCTGTGCAAACCATAGTGTCTGAGGAGGACAACAAGGGAACACAGTGGGACACGAGCATTTCCCTCCATGCCGCCCTTCCCTGACGGGCCCCCTCTCCGCCTGGCCAGCCCTTCTCCCTCCGAGACCTACCCAGAGAGCACTAATCCTCAACCCGCCAGCTGACGCACTAACTATTCTCCTACGGCCAAGCCCACTGTGACTGAGGAGGCGAAGCAAAACGGTGCCCTTGTGAGCTCTCCGTGCCCTAGTCACGTGGGCAGGACACAGGAAGGCACGTGTTCACCTGTGTTTGCACCTGGCAAGGGGCTCCCAACATGGCTTCCTTGTTTCTCATGTAACAGGCCGGGGTTGAGCACTTGATGCTCTCAGCCGCCTGCTCTTACAATCTGGGTTGTGGAAGATTAAGCTGCACATTCAACCCCCACACCCTGTTGTACACAAGCAGCTCTTCCTCTTTAACAGACTCATCTGGAAGGAGCAGACACCATGCTGAGGGCCCTCAACGTTTAAGAGGATGCTACAAAGATTAATTCTGGTGCCAAGGGATCCGTGTGGGTATGGGCACCATTAGCAGCGGCTTTACAAACATAAAACCAGACATTCCAAGACATGCAGATAACTTCCCAAAGTAACAGTGACCTTACTGACACCCTCCCTACCCCTTCTGTCCACCATGTGTCACGTTAAGGCTGAGCACAGAATCAAGTAATGGGAGATTCGCTGCAGTCAACAGTGCTCCCGTCCGGATGTGTAGGCCGGGTAGGAGCCTGAGGTTCTAAGTTGTTTGGGACTATCTTGTGTGCAGAGCACCATGAATACTCACTGAGCTAAACTAACGCTCAGCCTGCCCATCTACAGATCTCTACTTTTCAGAGCTAGATTTTCTATTACCTGTTACCCACTGCTCTGTGCACATTTAAAGGATTCAACAGAATTCCCCTTCCATCCTGGGTATGAATTAGGGAGGACTGCCAGCACAGGAAGGTTCATAGATGTCCTCATGTTCTCCTCCGTGGACTCATTTCAATCATCTTTACAGACCACGTGCCTCTATTTTCATCCTGGGTTAAGGCACTGCTCTGGGTTCTCCCATCCCAGCTCTACCTCCTTGGATAAGTCACTTAAACCTCTCTGTGCCTCAGTTCTCCAGCTCTAAAATGGGACAAAAACTCTCATCTCTTGTCTATTTAAATCGAGAGTTCCTCGGGGCAGTGTGAGCAATGCCATGCTGGGGACAGCCGTCTCTGGTGGCCTTATTCAATCATTCTGTGCCAAGGAAATTAAAGCCTCCTTAATCTGCATCATAAATAGTTCTTAAAATTAGTATAAACGTAAACTAGAGTTTACTAAAATCCTCCATTCCCCAGAGAGCCCATTTTATGTACCCCAAAAGCACATCGCTGGTTACCTAGTGCAGTGAGACCTTCTGAAATGGAAGAAAGAATATACATGATTACGTGGGGCTCTAGACTGGCTATAAAGTTCATGTGGTCCTGGGTGAGAACTTCCAGTAAGGAATAATAGGACTGGCTGAGTTTGGGGTAATCCTGCGGAGAGAAAGAGAGGGAAGAGATTTTAGGGTCTAACGGTTAATTCAGAATCAAGCACAAGACTTCCTCAGAGCAAAGCAAGTTGAATCACATCCCTTTCAACCCACTTTTCAACCAATTGGATGTTGCTCATGGAAAGAGTCTACTTCACTTAGTGTTTATGCAGACATTCCCCATGGACAGCGTATGTGCTCTACATTTACATTTTTAGGTCATCACCATTATGTGCTCTCAGCATCACACACGTGGATCCAGCCACGTTTCTTTCATTAGTGTAATGCTGGAATCTCTTTTTTCCATCCAGTTTTTGGCTTGGTGGATTAGTCGGCTGGACATTCGGCCTTCTGCTCTGGTGGGTCAGTGGCAACGTACCAGTCAGAAAACCCCATGTGAGCCCTTGGGGTCTGTTGTAGGAACTGGCTGTTGTAGGAAGTTTAGTGAGTGCCCGGGCCTGAGTAACAATGCAAACTCTCACCAACCCCGCAGACGCTGTGGTCAGACACGTCAGCACAGGCAGGGGTCTTTTACAAGCCCTGCAGTAAGCAGGGAATACTGTACTCTAGAGTACTTGCACGGGGCTGGCCTTTAACAAGACTGTTCGGATTGCTGATGTGCTGAGTTCTGCCCACGGCCTCACTGGGAAGGGAAAGTCTCCGTCTGCATGAAGTGTTCTTCAGAGAAGGGATTATTTGGGTCACTGCTCTACAGAGACTTGCCAACGCCCAATGCCAGGAGGGAAGAGAAGCTGCAGGGTACCACAAGCCCCCTAGGGAAATGGGGCTGGTGAGGAGGAATGGGGCTGTTTCCATACAGGGCTCTGGGCATGCAGCAGATTGTGGTAAATATTCAGTAGTTCCAGCTCATTCAGAATCTTTGGTAAACACAAGCCTGGGGGAAAGGCAGGAGCTCGCTCATTTGTATGGTTCAGATAGTCCTTCAAAAGCCACCAGTTCAATTCCCCAGGCTGCACCCGTCACCCTTTTAATCCACCTTTCCCTCCAGGCAGATCTTACTGCAGTCTGGAGTCGAAGCCCCCCTGCTGAAGAACACAGGGATGCTATACAATGGATACCAGCAGCCCTGGCCCTTGTCCCAGCTTCAACAAGTCTGCACGGTCTGCTTTTCAAGAGCAGAGGGAGATCGTGGTGTGTAAGGGGACCTGGCAGGGGCTGGGGCAGCTGGGAGGGACCCTAGACACATTTGGAAAAGGGAAAGACAGCCTAGAAGGTTGTCACTTCCCTGTTGTCAAATTAACTCCTTCAAGCTCAGCAGCTCAGCATTGGTGCTGATGGCACTTGTCATTAGGACATCCCTACGACAAACACCCAAACTCCAGCGTCTCCCTCGCTACAGTGCAGCTGGGTTTTCGCTTTGGCATCTGACTACATCATGGCAGCTTATGGGGAGAGGATAGAACAAGTAGAGCTCCTGTTTGTCAGAGTGAGGAGCAGCCGTCTCAGGAGCAAGACACCGAGGACAGGTCTACACTGGGCCTGGAAAGTCGGCTTGAGCTACGCAGCTCCAGCAAACGCTCCCGTCTGCTTTCCTTGCTCCTCACCAAAGGAGGAGGACTGGACGCTGGTGGGAGCTGCCCTCTGCGTTCCATTTATGGGTCTATACTAGACCCACTAAATCGAACGCTAGAAGAACAACCTCTGGAGTGTCGGTCTTCCAGCAAGCACAGACGTGCCCTGAACAATCATTTCATAGGGACGCACACTCATGGAATTGTCATTAGCCAATTGTGGGGGCCGTTGGGCAGAGACAGAAAAGCGGCTGTTCCAGCAGAAAACAGCGTCTCCACTGCGGAGCTAAGTCGGCACACAGGGAACGGGCTCTGCCATTGGCACATCGCTTGGGATTAGACGAGGTCTGGAGGTTAATCACAGGCGGGCTGGCTTACCAGAAGATCGCTGTGCGGGATGGAGAGCAGGAGCTTAATGAAGGTTTGCAAGGCGTTGTCGAGCGCATCGTCCCCGTACAGACGGAAGACACCAAAGTTGACGTAGCTGCCGCTTAGCGCGGCTTTCAGCATAGAGAAGCAGATGGAAATCCCCTTGAGCTTCAAGGCATAGACTTGATCCTTTGGGACCTCCCCTAGTGTTAGGATACGATTCCCTGCGCAAGCACAGAAGGAGACTTAGTATCCCAGCCCTGCTTCCAGCCCCCATCTCAGGGTGTTACTGCCCTGGGGAAGGCCGGGGGGGCAGCAAAGTTGTGAGTGACCATGGAGAAAGAAAATGGACACTTGGTGCTGAAACTCCGGGCCAGTTTTGTGAGCAAAGCTTAGAGGGGCCATGTGCCCTGTTCTATGATGCGGTGTGTCCCAACAGGAACTGGTTAGCAGCATGGCTCTTCACCCCCTTATGCTCACACCACGCCGTTGGGAACTGGACGGGATGACTGAGTTGGGGCTGGTCCTCCTTTGGGCAGGGGGCTGGACTCGATGACTCCTGCGGTCTCTGCCCGCCCTGGGATTCTATGACTTGGTCTGCCTGGCTGAATGCGAGTGGCTTTGCAGGGTGGAACAGGGCAGTGTTAATGGCTCCCCTTAGTGGTAGGATCCAGTCCCCAAGGAACCCCCAACTCCACACAGAAAGGCCTTTGCTCATGTGCAGCTCAGCCCAGCTACTGCTTGGGCCTCCACCCGAAGACCTGTGTGCTGTCCTCTCCCTTTCTCCATGCCAGGCAAGATCCCGGAGCCCTCACCCCTGCTTGTCTAGCATCACGCCTTAGAGAGAATCCTCCTGTATCTCAGTAAGAACCTTTCCAGTTACCTCACCCTGCATCCCACCCCAGTCTCCTCCTCAAGTCCCCAGGCAGCAGTGACAAGGGCACCAGCCTCCGCTCCCCGAGTGACCAGCGGCGAGGAGCTACGTCAGGGCAGAAGCCGGGGACTCACCATATGTAGTTATCATTTTACTCGTTTCCCGGAAGAGCAGGATGCCGTTTGGCGAGGACACATCGAACTGCAGCCTTTGGGACCTAGAAGGGGGAACAGAGCCAAGTCAACTCACCGCTGCTCACACAGAAGCGCAAAGGGACAAGGCGTGTCAGCCTGCTCTGCTGATCTATGCGGTGGCACCCTTGTGTTAAGGGCCACTTGCGGGAGCTCAGATGGTTGCCCCAGGCAGGGGTAACGGTGGCACTAGGCCATACAGGACAGAACATTGTCACAGAGCTGCTGACTCCAAAGAAAAGGCCTGTACGTCACAAATCTTAAGACTAGTACGATTCATACGTGCCAGAAAACCTGGCTCAGCAATAACTGCTGTGACTGTGCACACCATGTATGCCGACACACAAGGAGCATCTTGGAAGCCAGCCTTCTAGCAAGGTCTCGCAGTGCTGGGACCAATGCCTGTCCATCACATGATGTAGGCACTTGGCAATTCTATAGGCTGCTTCCCTCCATGTGAAGATGTTTTCAAATGGAAACACAGGAAGGGAATCTTTTCGTCTAGCTCTCACCTCATAAGGGGAGATTCAATAACTGCGGGGACTTTAAGTCTTGGCTCGACAAAGCCCTGGTTGGTCGATTTAGTTGGGATTGGTCCTGCCTTGGGCAGGGGGCTGGACTCGATGACTCCTGAGGTCTCTTCCAGCCCTAGGATTCTACTTCAGTAACTGAGCCAGAGGTTATGGGGCGAGGTGAGGTCTGCAGTCTATAGCGTGCAGGAGGTCACTGGACGATCATGGCGATCCCTTCTGATGTCAAAGTCTGAGGATTTGTCCTTTCACAAATCTCTTGTCTACGGTAAACAGCAGCACAATATGGATCCTTGAGAATATTAAAGCCACTGTGTGTCTGTTCAAGTCTAGTTTCCTTCTTGGATGGCTACAACACCGCTTAGCAGTGCTCTTGCATAGAGAGCTCTGATCACTTGGCAGTACCCCAGAGCCAAAGTCTGGCGATCTTTCACTCTCTCATTAGGCAGCTTCCAACCTTTCTGAACAGTGGCAGAGAGAAATCAATCTGCTTGCAAAAAGAACCATTGTCATCTGACCACCACATGGCGCAGAACTTATTTTCACTGCATGTTTTTAAATTAACGTAAATTTCTCGGATGTTATGGTGATGGGTTCCAGAAAGAGGTACTCCAATAAACAAACAAGCAGCTTCTGAGCTTGTCCCTTTACACATTCTCTTCCGCTCAGAGCTTACGGAGGACAGCTCTTTGATTCAACCACTCATAATGCATAAGTCACGTGTAAACGATTATATTTGCCTCCTTGCTAAAAGAGTTGCTGCTTTTTTTTTTAAGTTTTTTTTAAGGGCAACTTGCAAAGCATAAACAGAGGGAAATGGAAGAGACATAACAGGGCTGCAAAGAATATTTTCAAGCCCCAAACTAAAGGGTGAGACAGTGAAGAGACAGGAATTCCCATTTGCTTTTGGATGTTGGAGTCTCATACCTGTTATGCACCAACTCTGCCATCAGTTTGAGCACAGGTGTAGTGCAGGCTGGGTCATGGTACCACAATTCAATCGCCCGCTGTAGAATTGGCATGTAGGATGGATAGCTGCAATTCAGAAGCTAAGGAGCTTTCTTGTTTTAGTTGGGAAGAAAAGGTCAACAGTTTAAAAACTCTTGCCCTAGCTCCAGGCTTTGGAGAGAAGCTCTCTTGCTACTGACCTCTGTCTGGGCCTATGGTCTTACTTTCCAGGAGAACAGTCATTTGTTTCCATTTAACCGATTATTTGGCTGGCAACATTCATTTAGTTAGTACAAAAACATCGCTGAAAAAGTCTTGGGGGAAATAACAGGATTGCCTGCATCCGCTGTTGCCAAAGCTAGCTGTGATCACGTTGCATACACTTTTTCCAAGCCACCTGCCCCATGATAAAGGCATGTGGCCTCCACCAGGAAGAACACAACAGACACTTGGGCTATGTCTACACTGCACAGTTATTTTGGAATAAGCTATTCCGGACTAGTTATTCTGAAATAGCGTATTTCGAAATAGCACGTCTACACTGCAGGGGAGACTCAAAATGAGTCCGAGGCCGGCTTCCCTAATGTAGACGTGCTCTCTCCATTTAGAGCCCCAGGAGGAATAAATTAGCCCTGGGGAGGGGCTATTTCGAAATAGCAGCAGTGGAGCGTCTACACACGCCTTATTTCGAAATAGGCATTATTCTCCACAGAATGAGATTTACAGAAGATGGAGTAAGTCGTCCATTATTTCGAAATAACGGAAGTGCTGTGCAGACGCTCGCATAACTTTGCTGTGTAGACATACCCTTGGAGGCCATGTGTTACTCCATTTGGAGGTCCCCGAGGTGAACAGGTTACTTCCCAACTCCTGCCAGCTCTAGAGAGCAAGAGGTGTAGGGTGGCATTTTCACAGCCGCCTAAAGGAGCTAGGTGTCCAACTGCCATTATAAGCCAGGGGAATTTGGGTGCCTAGTGCCTTTAGGCCCATGTAGAATTCAACCCTAAGCCTTAGAACTGATTTCTAGTCTCCTTTGTGGAAGGATGCAACACACGAAGCCACAAACAGGGTTCCCAAAGGAGTTTCTCTCAAAGCTTGAGAGAAATGCAACAGGAGCTGCCAATTTTCTTGCCTATAAAGAGAACTACAAATCAAGAGTTAACTGAATGCAGAATGAACCAGGTGCTCCACAGGTTCAAACCCCGCATCTTGGCAGGCAGCTCGATTAGACAGCCCGGTGGTCCTAGGATTCTGGGAGCAGCAGCCCCGAACCACTTATCCCTCTGTTCTACTGTACGGGTGGCTAAAGCCTTTAGTCCTCTGTTGTGGCCAGGGGGATTGTTTAGGGTGAGGATACATCCACTCAAACAGCATCATAAAGCTGGTCTTGGCATTGAAGGCAAAGGCTATTCCCCTCAGGTCTCTCACAAGGCCGACCAAGGTCCTCTAAATTGTGAAGGGAGAGATACAGTACATGTTAAGTGACACTCTGACACTTCCCACCCCCTCCCCGCCTCCACTAGCCCATCACCCTTCCAACCAAGAGGCACGGAGCGTTTCTTTGGTGGCCTCTGGTCTCAAAAATTGGACATTCCTTTTCCCTACGCAACAGGAATGCACCCAAGTTAAGCCAAGGCAAGGAGGGTACTGAGAAGCGTCACTGGTTAAAGCCGCGCAGCTATTCTGGGTGCAGGAGACCCTTCCCCAAATGTCTGGATCTCTTCTAGTGATCATTTTCCCTCTCCCCAAGAGATCAGGGTCTCCCCAACCATGGCTACCACCTCCCAAACACTGGGAATTATTCAAACTTCCTTTTTAGCGCTTTAAGGTCATGGGTGACAAGGCCCCTGTTGGAAAAGGAGTGCCGATAGAGTCCCAAGGCACTGATTAACCCAAGATTTTGTCTCACTCAATTCGGACTTACTTTTGCCTCTTGTTCATTGAAAGTGTTTGTGCTGAACATCTGTGCCACGGCCTCGAATGCAGCGGTGAGGGGCAGCATGAACTGTTCATACTGATCCTCATCTTCCCCTGAAAGAGAAGAGGGAAATTGGCAACTTCCACCCAGGTGCCACATGTCACAGCACAGTGCTGGGAAGTGAAAGAAAGGCACTAATTTGAGGGAGCCCCCGTTTCCCTGGCTAAAGATGGTACTTTTATCAACCCCTGCCAGGGACAAAAGACTGGGGGTGCAGAGAGAACTTTGCAGAATCAAGACTGCACGTGGATTTGTCTGTAAGAGTCAGCTCGTGAAGGAAAATTTGGCCCTATTAGTGGCCTGCCTCTCTCTCTTACGAGTACAGACTATCACTGCAATCCCTCCCCCTCAAGACTCCTCTCCCTTCCTGGCGGGGCGAGTGCCGTTTTACTGGCGAAGCCACCACCTTCCACAGGGAAAGTAAGCAGAACATTTAAGAGCCCTGTGAACAAGCTGGCAACCCAACTTCCCCGCTCCTCTCAGGTCTGTAAGAATGGGGTGCAGTACCTAAGTCCACCATGAGGAGGCGCCCAAGTGCAGTGTAGAAAGTAGTCCGACATCGCATGTCAGTCAGGTTGGACTGATTGTTAATACCCAGGAATGAAAAGTGCTCACTCTGTCAATGAAAAAGCAAAGTTAACAGTGAGTGGCTGGGTGACAAGGCTCATTGGTTAGAGGCCCACGGGCACTGAGGGGCCTGGATTGCTTGGACTCGTACTCTGTTCTTTCAAGAGCCTTGGCAGGACTGAGCCACTATTTGCTTTGCTAAGCACTTTACTGCTGCAGCTAACCTAAAAAAATAAAGCCACGAGAGGGCCACTCTCCCTGGTATTACAGAGATACGGTTAACAGGCATCCTTTGCTTTTTGTCTGAGGATTCTGACGTGCTTTATAATCACTTAAGTCTTGCTTTGCCTCCAAAGAGAGATGAATTTCCCCATATGTAAAATGGGGATGGTAAAAGGCCACACAGAGAGTGTGTGTAAAAGGAGCCCCAATTTTCAGGCCATTGCTCTAACCATTAGATCTGCCTCTCACTCAGGGATTTCTAGGTGTCATCATATCCAGCCACCTTTCCTCCCAGTGGAAGCCAGGATTACACTTTAATGCAATATTATTGATTAATTTCCAGTAAAGGACCAGATCCAGGGCCCTCCAGAGAGAACCCTTGAGTGCTGTTATAACTAGTGTTGATTCTGAAAATTATCTTTGAGTTAATACCCCAGAACTGCATGAGAACACACTGCATTGCTGGAGGACCACCCGTATGGGCAGACCTGCAAGTCTGAGTCCTGGTCCCTGTGGCAGCTAAACACCCCTTGGACCTTTTCCCTAAAGGTAGTCTATTAGATAGGAATGTGACCAGGGTGTTAGAATGTTATTACATGCCATCTCCCTGAAATTCCCAAAGCAGGGCCTCACAGCTCCACACATTCTTAGCCAGAATTAGTTGTATTTTGGTGAGGGGTGTGACAGAGTGTCTTTGAGACACAGAAAAAAAAAAAAGAGAGAGACTGATTCCTGTATTATGTTTGTACAGAAGCAGGAATCATTTGGCTGAGAGGGACTATATAATTCTGACATCCTGGATTTAAAGTAGAGGCTTAAGAAAGAGGCAGAGAATGGAGATCATAATCGTAACAGTCTCTTGTGAAGCAAGTATTCAGGAAACCTGCAGTTACACTTCAGAAGAGCGCCTGCATGTGAGAACATAAAGGACTGGTTCTTGCTTTAGCCTGCCTACAGGCACCTTCATGTAAGAGTTTGTTACAAGAGAGGCTGGAAGGGAATGAAAGACTTACCGTGTGATTGTTCAGCATGAACTGTACTGCGCTCAGTTTCACCAGTTTCCTAACACTACTGTATGTAGAAAGGGTGTTAAGGAAACAGCAAGCAGAACCAGCCAGTCCCTGGATGGTTCCAAGTGCCTGCAAAGCGCATACAAGGGAATGCTTCCTGGAGTACGTACACGTTTTACAAAATGCTTTCAGGCCCTGTGAAGTTTCTCAGCCACCGTTTTTTCTCTAACCAGCTCCTATTACCAAGGACTCGTCTATACCAACAGTTGGTGCACAGCAAGCTGGAGTGTCTATCTATAATAGCCTTCCATGCTGTAAGTGTCTGTGTGGATCCTGCTATCATGCATTATGAGTTCTGGAGTGCACTGGATCTATTCTGCTTCGAAAGAGGAAGATGCACATTTCACCCCACTGCAGAATCCCACTTCATTTTCAACTTGTTTTGGAAGGAAGAGGTAACCCCAACCTGTACTATGGTCTTCAAATGCCTCGGCAGCACACAAACGAAGGCTGTGGGCTATAAGATATGAAGCAGCCATAATCCTTAGTTATAAAGTTGACAATGTAACAGCCCTCTACTGGGATTCTTTGCAACCAGGTGAAAAGGTCTGTGCTCTCTTGGCTACTCAAAAGTACTTTTTCATGTAATGCACAATCAACCTGTGGAACTCCTTGCCAGAGGATGTTGTGATGGCCAGGACTTGAACAGTTTTCAAAAAAACATCTAAATTCATGGAAGTAGGTCCTTCATCAATGGCTATTAGCCGCGATGGGTAGAAATGGTGTCCCTAGCCTCTGTTCTGTTCATTCCCTCTGGGGCCATCTAGCCTTGGCCACTGTCAGCAGACAGGATACTGGGCTAGATGAACCTTTGGTCTGACCCAGTGCAGTCACTTATGTATGAAGGTGTTTCGGGGTTACGTGGAAAAATGGAAATCTGGGGGTTTGTTTTTTAAAATAAGCCAAGTTCACATGGAATCACAGCACAAACCTGGGAGAGTGGAAACGACAGTCACGCCCAGTATTATGTGGCTGGAATTTTTGTCTGGAGATGCCGCTCTCCAGCTCTAGGAAGTTGCCGGCGAATTGACAGACCTACTGGAAGATTAGCTCGGTGGACAGCAATAACTAATGAACTTATGCAAAATGATCCCATTTCATCTGAACACACTGGTGTGGCGTCCCCCAAATTCCACTGTGACACGCCCAGGCTCTTTACAGAAAAGGATATCCAATGGAGAGATCGTTGAGAAGCTGCAGCGTCTTGGAGGTGATTGGTTCGCATCGACCCCAATACTTCAAGTTGGTGATGCTACAGGAAAGGAGAAGAACAACAGGTCAGAGGGACGGTTTGACTCTCCTTTCTTGCAAGGTAGAACTGTCCATCAAACGTCACCCAATTCCATCTCCACCCTCCAAAAAAGTCACAGACATCACAAGCCACAAAATATTGGTATAAAATTACTGTACTTACATTTGGTTGACTAGAAAATTATCCTTCAGATAATCTTCACTACTTGGGTCCCAAGCTACACTGGCCCATACCCAGGCCCTTGGAATTCTGTGGCACTCCAGGGCTGATTTCTGCAGCAAGGGTAAGAGAATTCTGCGGCAGTGACAACATGCAGACTATGCAACTCTGCACCTGCACCATCCACTGTCAGCTGCAGAATTCTAGTAGCCCTTGCTTCTTCCAGGAGAGCCATGTAACCCCCTGTGGATGGGCAAGAGTGGACAGGCACCTCGTACACCAAGGCAAAAAAGGAATGCAGGAGGAGTGCAGGAAGCCGATGGCCATGTGCATCCAGGCGCACGGCACTGGGCTTCAGCCTTGGAGGTATGGAAGGGGTTCAGAGTCTAACGGGGACGGCCAGAAAGACAGGAGAAAACCCCGCTGACGTGTTCAATCCAGAGGAAGCTCCTAAGCAACAGGCCACGAGGGGGCAGTCTAGTGAAGTGGAAGAGGTTTAAGAACGGTACTGGCGCTATTTTGAACTGCCTACTGCTATTTGTAGTCCCCTCCCCACTGTGGTCTCTAGGCTCGTGATTAGCAATAACGACGTGGCGATGTACGATAACGGAGATTGCCCCTTGTAACGATGATGGCAGAAGCCCAATTAAGGGGGCACTGAAAAGAGGATCCATTATCCTGGTGTAGCTGCAGGGGATTCCATTTGTGTGTCTCCATGACGCAGTAAAATACATAAATCCTGGATGCTGTACAGGACCTAAACCTCTGGCCACGGCCTATAATGCCCTCCAATAGCCAGAGGCTCCCCTCTCAGTCTGAACAACACTCTCTTATAGTGAGGTTGTCCCAGTTACTCCTGGCATCCCTGATGCCTGCAAGCAGAACTACTTACATTTTCCCTATGAAGACGCTCAGGACCATGGTCTCGTCACTCAATCCCAGGACCTCGGAGAGACGGCGGTACAGCTGGAGGGGAAAGAGCAACACAAAAGTTAACAAGAAGTCAATGGAATTAGTGGCATTTTTGCTGGAAGAAGGTAGGACTCTACTGGGGACGCAGCCTGAATTTAAAAATAGCTAATTCGTTTCCCCGAACACTAGGGTCTCCAAGCAGTTAAGCAGGGAGAACGTTTGATCCCCAGCCTACTTTTATGAAATGGCCTGATAGCTCTTCATTTTCTTCCCTGCTGCACTTAGCCAGAGAAGGTTCCTGCCCTGAGGCACTCGCATTCTTACTCAGACCCCTACTCTACATGGGGTAACAGGTTAACAAAAGCAGAACATGTTGTTGACCTGTAAGATTTTCATCCTCTTTTTCATTCCAGACAAGTTCATCCCCAGCTGGGCTCTCAGCAGCTAGAGATGCTATATACAAAATCGGGGCATTCGTTTTCTCTCTGAAGACGCAGCCCCATAGCTCTGACACTAACACAGCTATGAGCAGAGTGCAACAAACGCCCCACCTCATATCCCTGGGATCTGACATGCTCCCAAGCCCCCTGCAGCTCCAGAAGCAAGAGTGTCTCACTGGGGCTTTAACCCACGTCCCTGGCCAATTGGGAATTATGGGTTATTAGAATGACAGAAAATTTTTAGAAAGAAGATGGGACAGTTTCTCTCAACTCTCTTTAAGAACCAAGTACCCCAATGTTAACATCCAGTGTACGCTGAGAGGGGGGACATAGCAGGAAAACTGAGAGGGGCCCTTTTTCATTAACCCTCCCTTGTCTTCAAAAACTGCCCTCTTTGGCAGCCAACACGTCACATTTCACCTCAGTGCCAAGTCTAGAGGATCTTCAGAATGTCTAGGAAACAATCCAGTAAGTTTTAACTAAACGTCAGAACCACACCCCAGCCCTAACACCTCTGAGGTACTGATATAGCTCTCATTCTCCTAAGCACTGTGAGGCACTCAGCTCCTAATGCATTTTTCCCCTTTGACACTCCTGTGAACTAGGGCAAGGCTATTATCTACCATTATTTAGATGGGAAACTGAGGCATGGCAAAGTTAAGTGACTTGCCCAAGGTCACACCGGAAGCCTGTGATGGAACAGAGATATGAACCCAGGTCCTCCAAGACCTAGAGTAGTGCCCTAATCAGACATCTTAATGAAAAGCAGTGCCAAAGTGTACTGCTGAAGCTGTAAGTGTAAAACGGGGTATGTGGAAAGCAGGAGGGATGGGAGCTTCTGATAAGCTCTTATAACACAAGAGCAAATTAAGATCTAGCAGCTCATATGCCAAAAGAAGTGAAGGCATTACCGGAGCCAGCAATGCCTCAAGGCTGCAGGGGAGAAGGAATTACCTTGGAGGATTTCTGCACCTGATCTCCAATATAGATCTTTCGGAACTGCTCAAAGAAGCTCAGCATGGCAAGCTCCAGTTTCTCGTTCCCAGCCTGTGCCAGGCGAGAGTCTGTCAGGTTCATCAACTGCAATACCCTGAAAGGAGGGAAAGAAGAAGTAGTGACAGATCTATCAACAGCTCCAGGAGGACAAGAAATACCAGCCTGGCTGAACACTGAGAAGGGAGCGCAGAAGAGTGGTATCAGGCAGGTGGTATAATTTCCAAGCTGCGTATGGCTGAGAATAGGGATGTAAGCGGCTAGTCAACTACCCAGTAAGCCTAGGCTTATCAGGTAGTTGAGTCACTGCTCCACTA